AAAACCCCCCCCCCTTTTGCCCCCCCCCCCCCAAGCACCAAGAATGCAGAGCATCACTTGCCCCAGAGCCCCTAGCTATACCTTGTGGCTAATAGCCACTGATGGACCTCTGGTGGGGTGTCACGTGATACTGCCACCACTCTGGTTTTAGGATCCCTTGAGGAGGCCTAGAGCACCCTCCCAAGACCTTCAGACCTCCCTTGTTTGGCCAAAATAAGCGTGAGGACCAGGCAGAGTAAACAACAAGGAAAAGGCTTATTTTTACAGGAGATCAGTCCAATATGGGAAACAAAAAAGGTGCAAGGACAATATCAGTAAGGGGTGAAAAGAAAAGAAACCAAATGCTTTAACACGTCCAAACTTACTGTCCCTAGCTCGCTGTCTCAAGTGGGCCTCAGTCTGCTCACCTTTCCTCTCAGGATGAGGGTCTCTTCCTTGTCACAGCCTTCCTTCTGGCTCTGCTCTCTTGGAAGAAAGAACAGCTCTTCTTCTGTACCAGCTCTTTTGTTATAAGTCCACTTTCTCTGTGATTGGCTAAAATTGGTGCCAAAGCCTCTCAGGGGCTTCTGGGAGTTGTAGGCCTGGCCTCCTCCCACTGCTACTCAGGCTCCCGGGGCCCGCCAGGCCTTTGCTTGCACAGCGCAGATCATGACACCCCCTTATCAACTGACCAGTGACTTGCACAGGACAGGAAAGCAAACCATGCATAAGATCTTTTTCATGTGTGAAGCCCAATACAAAGTAAGGCCCATTCTTGGAAAAGAATTGGGAAGCTCACTTCCTCATGAGCTCTGTCCACGCATTATATTGCCGTAGAACTTTGCATCAGGAACAGTACATTGATATTGCAATTTTTTATCTCTTAGAAATAATGATTACATAATTGCACTCCTCTGGCTGGCTTTTTTTTGTGTACCACCACCAGGCTCGTAGCTACAGTGGGGCATTTTGGGGCCTGGCCCCCTGACTCCCTGCCAAGGTCCCACGACTTTCATCCAGCCCTCAGCCCCCATGGCTCTCTGGGCCGCCCAGAGGACTCCCTACCACCTCCCTTTCCCCAAGTGCGGCTTGCTTTCCCACGTAGGCAGGCAGAGTGCGAACACTGCAAAAGTGAGTTTTAATTTTTTTAATTTTATGTTATATTGTGACGTCAGTGCCCCCTGACTTATTTAAAGCCCCCCAAATTATAACATCCTGGCTACGAGCCTGACCACCACTATGGTAATAGGTGTTCACCTTTTGTTTGTGATATAGGTATCCTGCCAACTTACTATCAAAATATAGTTCTAGTGCATTAGTCAGCTGCTGAAGAAAGCATGTTGATATATTGATGGAAGTCTAGGAGCAAATATTTAATCACAAATACTGAGGGTGATTTCACACTAGAGCTGCCTCGATGTTGCGCCGCCGTTTGCCCTGATACTATTGGTCAATTCCACACCCGAAGCCACAGGGCTGCATTTTGACCCTCGGCTTCACCAGATTTCCCCCACAGTTTCGTGACCCTGTTTTTTGAGGATCACGAAATTGTGGAGGAAATCGGGCAAAGCCGCAGGACAAATGCAGCCCCGCAGCTTCGGGTGTGAAACTGACCAATAGTATCAGGGCAAACGACGGCGCAACGTCGAGGCAGCTCTAGTACAAAATCAGCCTGAGATTCAAAACAAAAAAACCCCAGATAGGCCATGGGGAATAGTATGTATGAACAAAACCCAAGCCGGCTCGCGGGGAGGGCGGGGTATAAATGCAATAAATAAATAAATAAATATTATAGGTCTTAACTCTTTCTCTCAAGGGCAGTTCTTGAAAGAGCTCTCTCAGCCCCACCTACCTCACAGGGGGAGGGAAAAGAGATTGTAAGCTGCTCTGAGACTCCTTCAGGTAGTGAAGGGTGGGGTATAAATCCAATCTCCTCCTCCTCCTCCCTCTTATTCACCATGACATTCACTGGAATCAACATCCCAATGAAATACAGCACGCAAGGACTCCTTAACCTCCTTAAACTCCTTAACCTCTCTTCTCCATAAGTAATTAAGCAACCGTATCAGAATTAAACACACGCAACCACAATTCATGCCTGATGACTGCAGTTCAAAATGAGCTGACAACGATCCCAGGTGACTTCATATATATAAAAGGATGTCAACATGAAACAGAGACAAGTGGCAATAATCTGGAAGGAAGGAAAGCCACTATAGGAAGAACATTCAGCCCATCACAGAGAAAAAGAAACACGGACCATGTCGGGAATACAGGCAGTTCTGATTACCTTGCTGCTGTGTCTCCTGATTCTGCTCTTTCTGAAACAACTCCGTTCGCGCAGGTCCTACCCTCCTGGGCCTCTTCGGCTTCCTCTCATCGGAAGCCTTTGGAAATTAGGATTCAGGCTCTCCAAAGATACTTTCATTAAGGTATGTCATTCCATGTAACTAGACGATGTGGTGAAAAGAAGTGAGGACTATTTTTAGTCATTTTCTGGCTGGGCTTTAAACAGGTTGTTTGACATTATTTCATCGTCATGGGTGCAATTTCACATAGAGCCATAGAATCACCGAGTTGGAAGGGGCCGTGGAGGCCATGTAGTCCAACCCCCTGCTCAGTGCAGGATCAGCCTAGAGCATCCCTGACAAGTGTTTGTTTGGGTTAGTGGTTAAGTGTGCAGTTAAGTGTGTAGTGGTTAAGTGTGCGGACTCTAATCTGGGAGAACCGGGTTTGATTCCCCACTCCTCCACTTCCACCTGCTGGATGACCTTGGGCAAGCTATGGTTCTGGCACAGCTGTTCTTGAAAAAGAGCAGTTTCTGTCAAGAGCTCTCTCAGCCCCACCTACCTCCCAGGGTGTCTGGTGTGGGGAGGGGAAGGGAAAGGAGTTTGTAAGCCGCTCTGAGACTCCCTTGGGTAGTGAAGGGCCATGGGGTATAAATCCAATCTCTTCTTCTGTTCTTCTTCATCCAGCCGCTGCTTAAAGACTGTCAGTGAGGGGGAGCTTACCACCTCCCGAGGCAGCTGATTCCACTCTTGCACAACTCTGACTGTAGAAACGTTTTCCCTAAGATCCAGCTGGTACCTTCCTGCCCTTAATTTAAACCCATCCTTGCGAGTCCTCTCCTCTGCTGCCAACAGGAACAGCTCCCTGCCCTCCTCTGAGTGTCCCCCCTCAACCTCCTGTTCTCCAGACTAAACATTCCCAAGTCCCTCAGCCTTTCCTCATAGGGCTTGGTTCAAGAGCTGCACAGAGCTCACTTAAAGAAAATTTTTAGAGCTCTTACCAAGGAAAGCTGCTCTGCCCTCTCTTTGAAGAGGATGTCTGCAAAATATTCTCCACACCAGAGGTTTCAAACTCAATTGTTACAAAGGCCGAATCTGACATAAATGGGACTTTGTCGGGCCGGGCTATAAATATTTTCCAAACCTTCAGGTGGGGCCTGGAGATCTCCTGGAATCACAAGTGTCCTTCAGATGACAGAGCTTGGCTCCCCTTGAGAAAATGGCTCCTTTGGAGGATGGGGTGCATGGAGTTAGTCCTTGCTGACATCCCACCCCCTCCCCTAATTTTGTCACCCCCAGGCCCCTCACCCCAAATCTCCTGGTATTTCCCAACCCAGAGCTGGCAAATAAGGGCGCTTTCACACATGCAGAAATGCAATTTCAGTCCTCTTCAGCTACCATTTGTAAGTGGATTTTGCCATTTCATGCAGTAAAATCCAGTTGCAAAATGTATTGAGAGTGTGGGTAAAAGCACCACTATAGAAGCGGGGGACTACAAAATTTGCGGAGGGGAGGAATCCCATATCCTCTCCCATTGCTGAACCTTCCCCAGCCTAACCACCCACCCTGAAGCCTGGGGATGGCAGTGTCTCAGCCCGTGCAGAGAATGCTAGTTTACTTTCCCCAGACTGCTCTCATGGTCAATACTCTGAACCTAAGACCCAAGGGAAAACGTGAAATGGCTGGGCATTGTAAGCTTCCCTCCCATGTGGAAAGCTAGTCTCAGCGAGGCTGATAAAAGGTAACACAGTAGGACCATATATGGTCTAATTATCTTTTTTAAACCAACGCACTGAACATTAAACTCCAAAATTTTAAAATATATTCATGATGGTACTGAACACCTGAGTCAGATTGAGGTGACGAGAGAGGAGGTCCTAAAACTGATAGACAACTTAAAAACTGATAAATCACCAGGCCCAGATGGCATACATCCAAGAGTTCTGAAAGAACTCAAATGTGAACTTGTGGATCTCCTGAAAAAAATATGTAATCTTTCCTTAAAATCTGCCTCCATTCCTGAGGATTGGAAGGTAGCTAATGTCACTCCCATCTTTAAAAAGGGTTCCAGAGGAGATCAGGGAAATTACAGGCCAGTCAGTCTGATGTCAATACCTGGTAAATTGGTGGAAACCATTATTAAGGAAAGAATTAGTAGGCACATAGATGAACAAAACCTATTGAGGCAGACTCAGCACGGTTTCTGTAAAGGAATATCTTGTCTCACTAACCTGTTAGTGTTCTTTGAGGGGGTGAACAAACATGTGGACAAGGGGGATCCAATAGATATTGTTTACCTTGACTTCCAGAAAGCTTTTGATAAAGTTCCTCATCAAAGGCTCCTAAGTAAGCTCAAAAATCATGGGATAAAAGGACAAGTCCTTTTATGGATCAAAAACTGGCTAATTCATAGAAAACAGAGAGTGAGTATAAATGGGCAATTTTCTCAGTGGAGGGTGGTAAGCAGTGGGGTACCGCAGGGATCAGTACTTGGTCCACTGCTTTTTAACTTGTTTATTAATGATTTGGAGATGGGAGTAAGCAGTGAAGTGGCTAAATTTGCGGATGATACAAAGTTGTTCAGGGTGGTGAAAACCAGTGAGGATTGTGAGGCACTCCAAAGGGATCTGTCAAAGATGGGCAAGTGGGCGTCAACATGGCAAATGGGGTTCAATGTGGCCAAGTGCAAGGTGATGCACATTGGAGCCAAAAATCCTAAATATAAATACACATTGATGGGGTCTGAACTGGCAGAGACAGATCAAGAGAGAGATCTTGGAGTTGTAGTAGATAACTCACTGAAAATGTCGAGACAGTGTGTGACTGCAATAAAGAAGGCCAATGCTATGCTGGGGATTATTAGGAAGGGTATTGAAAACAGATCAGCCAATATCATAATGCCCCTATATAAATCAATGGTGAGACCTCATTTGGAATACTGTGTGCAGTTCTGGGCACCACACCTTAAAAAGGATATTATAGCTTTGGAAAAAGTGCAGAAAAGGGCAACTCGAATGATAAAAGGGTTGGAACACTTTCCCTATGAGGAAAGGTTAAGGCGCTTAGGGCTCTTTAGCTTGGAGAAACGACGACTGAGGGGTGACATGATTGAGGTTTATAAGATTATGCATGGGAAAGAGCAGGTAGAGAAAGAGGTACTTTTCTCCCTTTCTCACAATACAAGAACCCGTGGGCACTCCATGAAATTGCTGAGCGGTCGGGTTAGAACGGATAAAAGGAAGTACTTCTTCACCCAAAGAGTGATTAACACATGGAATTCACTGCCACAGGAAGTGGTGGGTGCTACAAGCATGGACGGCTTCAAAAGGGAATTAGATAAGCATATGGAGCAGAGGTCCATCAGTGGCTATTAGCCACAAGGTATAGATAGGGGCTCTGGGGCAAGTGATGCTCTGTCCTCTTGGTGCTTGGGGGGGGGTCAACAGTGGGAGGGCTTCTAATGTCCTGGCCCCACTGGTGGACCTCCTGATGGCACCTGGTATTTCTGGCCACTGTGTGACACAGAGTGTTGGACGGGATGGGCCTTTGGCTTGATCCAACATTGGCATCTCTTATGTTCTTATGAGGTCACCTGGTATTTTTGGCCACTGTGTGACACAGAGTTTTGGACTGGATCGGCCATTGGCCTGATCCAAGATTGGCCAGTTTGGTGTAGTGGTTAAGTGCGCAGACTCTAATCTGGGAGAACCGGGTTTGTTTCCCTCTCCTCCACATGCACCTGGCTGGATGACCTTGGGCAAGCCATAACTCTGGTCAGAGCTGTTCTTGAAAAAGAGCAGTTTCTGTCAGAGTTCTCTCAGCCCCACCTACCTCACAGGGTGTCTGTTGTGGGGAGGGGAGGGGAAAGGTGTTTGTAAGCCACTCTGAGACACCTTCGGGTAGTGAAGGGCGGGGTATAAATCCAATCTCTTCTTCTTCTTCTTCTCTTATGTTCTTATGTCTACTCAGAGTTGGCAGCAGCCCCGTAGCTAGGGATTTTGGGGGGAGGGGGTCTTGAGGGGGTAATTAAATCCAAGGCTCCAGGGCAAGGGGGGGTTCTGCCCCGGGACTGCAGCTTCCCCTCCACAAGGGCAAGCCTTCCCTGGAGCATCTGGCTCTCCCCCTCTCTGAGAAGCTCCACCGCCCCTTCCCATTTCAACCCTCAGCTCCCTCCCAGGGCTGGGAGAGGTGAGGCGTGGGTTGAGCGGGCTGGCCACGGAGGTGCCATATGCGGGCTCAGCATGCTGGAGCACAGCTGGGTCAGAGGAGGTGCTTGCCTGCCTCCTTGCCTTGCCTGGGCTTTACCATTCATGCTTGCTGCTTGGGTGGCTCTCTCAGCCTCACCTTGATGCCACCGCTACTGGTATCTCCGCCTCTGAAATCACTGCCCTTGTCCTCCTCGTAGATAGGCTGACAGGCAATCAGGGGGAGGGGGCTGGGGGGAGATGGGCCCATAAAAACTGCTAGAGGGGGCGGGTCCTGTTGGCCCCACGGTAGCTACGGGCCTGGTGTGGCAGTGGCTCTCCAGGGTCTCAGGCTGAAGTCTTTCTCATAATAAGCCACAGCCTGGTTCTTTTAACTGGAGGTGCTAGGGATAGAACCCTGCATGCCAAGCAGAGGCTCTTCAATGGAGCCATGACCTGCGTAGCCCAGGCAAAAACCGAATGCTAACTAAACAAACACTACCCCCAAGAAGAATGGAGGGACAGGAAGAAGAAGAAGAAGAAGAAGAAGAAGAAGAAGAAGAAGAAGAAGAAGAAGAAGAAGAAGAAGAAGAAGAAGAGGAGATTGGATTTATACCCCGCCCTTCACTTGGGAGTCTCAGAGCGGTTTACAGACTCCTTTCCCTTCCCCTCCCCACAACAGACACCCTGTGAGGTGGGTGGGGCTGAGAGAACTCTGACACAAACTGCCCTTTTTCAAGGACAGCTGTGCCAGAGCTTGTGACTGACCCAAAGTCACATCAGCAGGTGCAAGTGGAGGAGTGGGGAATCAAACCCGGTTCTCCCAGATTAGAGTCCGCACACTTAACCACTACACCAAACTAGTGATAACCCAGAACTCTAGCAAACCTAGGTGGCTCCTGTGTCTAGCTCAATAAACAGAAGAGAAAAGCCCCCATCAAGATGAAAAACAATATTTGC